GGCATAGGGGTGGCACAGTGAGAGTGTGTCAGTAAGGGGTGGCACAGTAAGGGGTGGCTCAGTAAGGAGTGGCAGAGTGAGAGGTGTCACAGTAAGGGGTACAGTAGGGGTGGCACAGTGAGGGGTGGCACAGTAAGGAGTGGCAGAGTGAAAGGTGTCACAGTAAGGGTGGCACAGTAGGGGTGGCACAGTGAGGGTGGCACAGTAACGGGTGGCTCAGTAAGGAGTGGCAGAATGAGAGGTGTCACAGTAAGGGGTGTCACAGGGGTGGCACAGTAAGGGGTGGCACAGTAAGGGGTGGCACAGTGAGGTATGGCTCGGTGAGGGGTGGCAAAGTGATGGGTGGCAAATTAAAGGCTGGCACAACAAGAGGTGGCACAGTAAAGGGTGGCACATTAAGGGGTGGTACAGTAAGGGGTGGCACTGTAAAGGGTGGCACAATAAGAGGTGGTACAGTAAGGGATTTGCACAATAAAGGGTGGCACAGTAAAGGGTGGCACAACAAGGGTGGTACAGAGGGTGGCACAGTAAGGGGTCGCACAGTAAGGGGTGGCACAGTAAGAGGTGGCACAGTAAGTGGCACACAAAGGGTGGCACAGTAAGGGGTGGCTCAGTAAGGGTGGTACAGTAAAGGGTGGCTCAGTAAGGGGTGGTACAGTAAAGGGTGGCACAGAAGGGTGGCACAGTAAGGGGTGGCACAGTACAGGGTGGCACAGTAAGGGGTGGCACAGTAAAGGAATGGCACTGTAAAGGTGGCACAGTAATTGGGTGGCACAGTAAAGGGTGCAGTAAAGGGGTGGCACAGTAAAGGGGTGGCACAGTAAGGGTGGCGCAGTGAAGAGTGTAATAAAGGAGAGAGAAGGTCCCCATGACACACAAGGAGGAAGAACACACAGGAAGTAACAAAAGAGGAGGGGAGGAGGGGGGTCCCAAGAGCGAGTAACGAATGGGGGGAGAGGGGTAGGATGAGATCAGTAGGGTAAAGGAAGCTGGGGAGGGAGGAAGAAAGAGAGAAAGTTTGGAGGGCGGATCGGAGAGAGAGAGAGAGAGAGAGAGAGAGAGAGAGAGAGAGAGAGAGGATGGGGGGAGGGAGGGAGGGAGGTAGAATCTAAAACGGAAGGGAAAGGAGGGACAACTCCAGCGATGAGTCACGGGTTGGTGAGTGGTGGGCGGTGGGGAGGTAAGAGGTGTGTGCGGGAGTGAGGGAGGCCAAAGTGAGGGGGGAGAGGAAGAGCACAGTGAAAGACAGGAGAGGAGGAAGGGTATATATATATATATATATATATATATATATATATATATATATATATATATATATATATATATATATATATATATATATATATATATATATATATATATATATATATAGCGTTGTGGACAGTGGTGAAGAAAGGCCGGTCAGCAGTGTTGGTCTGACGTGTTTCTTATAACTTACTTCCCTTATAGATAGATAGATAGATAGATAGAAGGATAGATAGATAGATAGATATAAATTACTAATGCAATAACAATATATTTGCCGTCAAGACATGATCCTGGCTGTAATATGTCCCCTTGTTTAACTTTAATACAACCCATCTTGTATTGCTTCCTTCACTTATCAGATTAATGTATATCAACTCCACTGTAAAATATGCATATACTTATAATATAAATGTAAAACAATAAAATAAAATAAAATAAAATAAAATAAATAACGAAATGATAACACCATGTTACGTGTACTACTCCAGATAATATTAATGACATAATAATTCCTTGAAATAAATGTACAGTAGAATATCAGCTGCCACGAAGAAATCTCACTCATATTTTTTATTTATTTTTTTTTTACAGGGATTAACCCACCCGGGCACAGGTCACTGACCCACATCAGGGCCTGGGGAGCGCAAATGTAATAATAATAATAATAATAATAATAATAATAATAATAATAATAATAATAATAATAATAATAATAATAATAATAATAATAATAATAATAATAATAATAATAATAATAATAATAATAATAATAATAATAATAATAATAATAATAATAATAATAATAATAATAATAATAATAATAATAATAATAATAGTAATAATAATAGTAATAGTAATAATAAAAATAATAAAAATAATAATAATAATAATAATAATAATAATAATAATAATAATAATAATAATAATAATAATAATGATAATAATAATAATAATAATAATAAAGAAATACAAAAACTAAAAAAAATAATAGTGATAAACAATATATGTATGTTAATATTGTTACTATTATCCACTCTGTATCTGTGTTTTTCTGGCTAAATAAACTGTATCAATATTAATATCAATATCAACCTTCCGTATGTCTCAACCTCCCCCGTCCCCTCTCACAAAGGGTCTGTATAACAGTCCCGGGTGGTCAGGATATTACACCGTTGAATGTTACAGAGTATTTCATATATATATTCCTTGTATTTTAAATATTATGTAACATTCAATGCCATAATATCCTGACCACCCGGGACTGTTGTACAGACCCTTTGTGACCTCAGCTCTAATCCTTTTGGGCTACCGCTCACAGGATAGGTATGGGAGCACGATAAATTAACCGCTGTAAGTAGCAAAATTCAAATCAAAATTACGTTCATAAATACCTCTACACCCTCCCCTCCCTCCACCATTACCTCTACACCCTCCCCTCCCTCCACCATTACCTCAACACCCTCCCCTCCCTCCACCATTACCTCAACACCCTCCCTCCCTCCACCATTACCTACACACCATTACCTCAACACCTCCTCCCTCCACCATTACCTCAACACCTCCCTCCACCATCAACACCTCCCTCCCTCCACCATTACCTCAACACCCTCCCCTCCCTCCACCATTACCTCAGCGCCACTAGTTCATCTTTAAAATCCACTTCTCCCATGACCTCTGACCCCTCCTCGACACTGAGCGTGGTGACCCTCGGGGTAAGTACCCGGGGTGGGGACACTCGGCATGGGGAAACCAAGGGGAGTACACTCAGGGTGGGGACCCTCGGGGTGAGGGACACTCGGGTAAGGAAAGGACCCCAGCGTCCTCTCTCCCACCCTATATATCATCTACACAAGTGACACTCCGCCTCCTACTAGATTAGGAAATGAAGATATTATGTATGCAGATGACATCACTCAAACAACAACACATCAAGGAAAATCGCGAGCGTTACAGGTTGACAACACCAGGCGGGAATTAGAAACGGTAAATAATTTCGAAAAACACTGGAAAATCCAAACCAGTCTCCCGAAATTCACAGTGATACCCTTATGCAGAAGGAAAGCCCATCCATTTGTAACAAATAATTCCCAGATAGAATACAATAGCAGAGGCACCCTCCTGGGCCTGCACATATCCACGAGAGGTTACTCCCATTATGTCCACACCAGGAAGGAAAAGGCAAGAAGAGGGATGAAGAAAACTATACCACTTTAACGTGCTTCCTGAGAAAATAAAACTCCTCCTGGTTACATCACTTATCATACCGATATTAACTTACCCAGCAGTACCTCTTCATACCATGAGCACCACTCGGTTATTAAAATTACAGGTAGTCCAAAATGAAGCCCTGAGATGCGTCACAGGTGAAAGATACCCCTTCACCAGAACCACAGCCAAGATACATAGAGGCCTGAGAATAAAACCCATCAACCAGCATCTGCAAACCCTGGCCAGCAGAGTCTGGCAAAAGGGAGAGCGATCACAGCAAGAACTCCTTCAAGGACTCCCACCAGGCAACGACAACAACCATACATGGTTTCCAAAAATTTACCAAATCTCAAACGGTCCATTACCACCCTCGATCTATACAGCCAGGCAATAGACAACCTTCCTAGACCAGCATCCGCCAGTAGGGTCGGCGGAATACGAAAATAAGGCCCTCGAAACACCCATATATGGTATAGGGTAGGCTGTCTAGTGCCTGTACCGACAGACAATGACTATCCCATGACACAACCTGAACACACTATTAGCTTAGGTAACCCACAGCAAGGCGGTCAGCCCGCCCTTTCCTACCTCCTCCTAAATTTCTTCATTTTCCGAACTATAACTTCCGTTCTCCACCTCTAATCTTCTTTCACCCCTTCTTTCTCTACACAAAAAAAAAGTGGTGACCCTCGGGGTGGGGGCACCCGGGGTGGGGACACCCGGTGTGACGAAACTCCGGGTGGGGACACTAGGGGTAGGGACACTCTATGTAAAGACCCCGGGTTGGGGACCCTCGGGGTGAGGACACTAATATTGATATTGATATTGAACGGTTTATTTAGCCAGAACAACACAGATACAGAATCGATAATAATAACAATATTAACATGGTTGAGCTAGTTGAAAGCCTGAGCTCTCCTGTAGGCACCTGATATATACTGTACATTTAGTACCATCAGGAATATTACACGTAACATGGTGGTAGTAAGAAAATATCAGAATGTTACTACGGTTATCACTTCGATATTTATTTAAATAATTTTTTTTTTACATTTATATTATAAGTATATACATACTTTACAGTGCAGTTGATATACATAAATATGATAAGGGAGGGAAGCAGAACAACATGGGTTGTAATAAGGTGAAACAAGAGGACAGAGCTGTCAGTATCATGTGTATTCGGCAAATATATTTATGGCAATGGTAATTTCTATCTATCTACATGATACTGATAAAACGGTTTTGGTGGTACAATAAAAGCAGGAATATAAAGTAGGTATTACCAAAAATATTAATACTTAGACAAAATATATTTCCTAAGAGATGATTTAAAGGTGCAAGATGTAAGGACCCCGGGGTGGGGACCATCAGGGTAAGGACCCCGGGGTGGGGACCATCAGGGTAAGGACCCCGGGGTGGGGACCATCAGGGTAAGGACCCCGGGGTGGGGACCATCAGGGTAAGGACCCCGGGGTGGGGACCATCAGGGTAAGGACCCCGGGGTGGGGACCATCAGGGTAAGGACCCCGGGGTGGGGACCATCAGGGTAAGGACCCCGGGGTGGGGACCATCAGGGTAAGGACCCCGGGGTGGGGACCATCAGGGTAAGGTGGGGACATTCGGAATGGGGAAACTAGAGAGTGGGGACCATCAACGTGGGGACACTCGGGGTGAGGACCCTCCAGGTGAGGACCCTCGGGGTGGGGACCCTCGGGGTGGGGACCCTCGGGGTGGGGACCCTCGGGGTGGGGACCCTCGGGGTGGGGACACTCGGGGTAGGGACCCTCGGGGTGGGGACCCTCGGGGTGGGGACCCTCGGGGTGGGGACCCTCGGGGTGAGGACCCTCGGGGTGGGGACCCTCGGGGTGGGGACCCTCGGGGTGGGGACCCTGCACCACAGTTCCGCCAGCTTCAACTTCTTGTTTTAGTTTTAAACTCTGTTGGGGAGAAAGGTTTAATCTAATATATTATATAAAACCTTTAAGATCTTATAATAATTTAATCACTGACTGTACCTTAAAGAAGTGGGTCATTTTATTATTATTTAACGTATAAAAAGGTAGAAGGAGTTTTGTAGACTTTCCTTTTATTGAGATCTTTGTAATACTTGAGTCATCTTCATTATAACATTACACAAAAAGAATCTAGAAAATTGTAAGACAACGTGAAGCAGTAGTGTGAGAGAGCGACGACACCTAAACCTTGTGCAGTTCTACTACTACAAAGCTTTTGACGTTAATTTCCCTTAAACTGTAAATGTGAAAATGTAATCGGAACATGGAAACTGCAGCAAAAAGTATCTCAAAACAACAAAAAATAACACTAATAACACTCAACTGCACTACATTCGTTCATTTCTGGAATTCTTAAAAAAACAAACAATGTATATTAACATCTAAGATTCTAGGACAAGTACAAGAACGTCGCTGGCGCCGATGTTATGGTGGCTACAACTACCTTACTGTATACATTATTCCCGCGTCCTGGCCGTTACTGCGGTGCTCTGGCCACACAACCTCAGTAACAGTGTAAATAAACGTTAACCAGAATAAAAGAAAACGGAAAATAAATGTGTGGCCAGAAAACTGTGGTGAAGGAACCTGAGCCCAGTGGGAGACCATAGCCTCTGATATACTGTATAGTGGGGAAGGTATATGTGTCTGGCCCACCACCTGCCTGTACCCACCACCTGTCTGTACCACCACCTGCCTGTACCACAACCTGCCTGTACCACCACATGCCAGCACCACCAACTGCCTGTACCACCCCACCTGCCTGTACCACCCACCTGCCTGTACCACCCCACCTGCCTGCACCACCACCTGCCTGTACCACCACATGCCTGTACCAACTGCCACTACCACCACCTGCCTGTACCACCACCTGCCTATACCACCCTGCTTGTACCATCACCACCTGCCTGTACCACCACCCGTCTGTCAACCCCCACCTGCCTGTACCACCACGCCCTGTACTACACCACCTCCCTGTACCACCACCTGCCTATACCAACTGCTGTACCACCACACCTGCCTGTACCACCAACTGTGTACCACCACCACTGCCTGCCACCACCTGCCTGTACCACCACCTGCCTGAGCCACCCCCACCTGCCTGTACCACCAACTGCTTGTCCACCCACCACCTGCCTGTACCACCACCTGCCTGTACCACCACCTGCCTGTACCCCACCTGTACCACCACCACCTGCCTGTACCACCACCTGCCTGTACCACCAACTGCCTGTACCACCACCCACCTGCCTGTACCACCACCTGCCTGTACCACCACCTGCCTGTACCACCACCACCTGCACCACCACCTGCCTGTACACCACCTGCCTGTACCACCACCACCTGCCTCAGCCACCACCACCTCACCTGCCTGTACCACCCCCACCTGTACCACCACCTGCCTGTACCACCACCTGCCTGTACCACCACCTGCCTGTACACCACCCCCACCTGCCTGCACCGCACCACCACCTCCTTACCACCCCCTGCTGTACCACCACCTGCCTGTACCACCACCACCTGCCTGTACCACCACCTGCCTGTACCACCCCGCCTGTACCACCCACCGCTGTAACACCCCACCTGCCTGCACACCACCACCCACCTATACCACCACCTGTCTGTACCACCACCTGCCTGTACCACCACCACCTGCCTGCACCACCACCACCTGCCTGTACCACCACCTGCCTGTACCACCACCACCTGCCTGTACCACCACCACCTGCCTGTACGACCACCACCTGCCTGTACCACCACCACCTGCCTGCACCACCACCTGCCTGTACCACCACCACCTGCCTGCACCACCAACTGCCTGTACCACACACCACATGCCTGTACCCACCACCACCTGCCTGTACAACCACCACCTGCCTGTACCACCACCACCTGCCTGTACCACCCACCACCTGCCTGTACCCACCCACCACCTGCCTGTACCACCCACCACCGGCTCACCACCACCTGCCTGTACCACCACCCACCTGCCTGTACCACCACCGCCTGTACCACCCACCACCTGCCTGTACCACCACCACCTGCCCACCACCCCACCTGGCTGTACCACCACCTGCCTGTACCACCACCACCTGCCTTACCACCACCACCTGCCTGTACCACCACCACCTGCCTGTACCACCAACTGCCTGTACCACCACCTGCCTGTACCAACCACCTGCCTGTACCACCACCACCTGCTTGTATCACCACCACCCGCCTTACCACCACCAACTGCCACCACCACCACCTGCTTTACCACCACCACCTGCCTGTACCACCACCACCTGCCTGTACCACCACCTCCCTGTACCACCACCACCCGCCTGACCCACCACCACCTGAATGTACCACCATCTGCCTGTACCATCACCACCTGTCTGTGCCACCACCACCTCCCCTGTACCACCACCACCCGCCTGTACCAACCACCACCTGCCTGTACCACCACCTGCCTGTACCACCACCACCTGCCTTACCACCACCACCTGCCTGTACCACCACCTGCATGTACCCACCTGCACCACCCCACCTGCATGTACCACCACCCGCTCCAGCCCATCACACCCCGCCTGTACACCACCACCCGCCTGTACCACCACCCGCCTGTACCACCACCTCACCTGGCCTTACCACCACCACCTACCCGCACCCACCACCTGCATGTACCACCACCTGCCTGTACCACCACCTGCCTGTACCACCACCACCTGCCTGTACCACCACCACCTGCCTGTACCACCACCTGCCCGTACCCCACCTCACCAACTACCTTACCACCACCACCTGCCTGTACCACCACCTGCATGTACCCACCACCTGCAGCCCACCACCTGCATGTACCACCACCTGCCTGTACCACCACCCGCCTGTACCACCACCCACCTGTACCACCACCTGCCTCACCACCACCACCACCTGTCTGTACCACCACCACCTGCCTGTACCACCACCACCTGCCTGTACCACCACCACCTGCCTGTACCACCCCCACCTGCCTGTACCACCAACCGCCTGTACCACCACCACCCCTGTACCACCACCACCCGCCCTGTACCACCACCACCTGCCTGTACCACCAACCGCCTGTACTACCACCACCTGCCTGTACCACCACCACCTGCCTCGAACACCCCACCTGCCTGTACCACACCAACGCCTGTGACTACCACCACCTCCCTGTACCACCACCACCTGCCTGTACCACCCCACCTGCCTGTACCCACCACCACCCGCCTGTACCACCACCACCCGCCCGTACCCACCCACACCACTACCACCGCCTGTACCACCACCTGCCTGTACCACCACCCGCCTGTACCACCACCTGCCTGTACCACCACCACCCGCCTGTACCACCACCCGCCTGTACCACCACCACCGCCTCACCACCACACCACCCACCTGTACCACCACCCGCATGTACCACCGCCTGCCTGTACCACCACCACCTGCCTGTACCACCACCACCTGCCTGTACCACCACCTGCCTGTACCACCACCACCTACCCACCACCTCACCACCTGCCTGTACCCATCACCTGCATACCACCACCGCATGCACCACCAACCTGCATGTACCACCACCCGCCTGTACCCACCACCTGCCTGTACCACCCACCCACCTTACCACCACCTCTGCCTTACCACCACCACCCGTCTGTACCACCACCACCACCTGCCTGTACCACCACCACCTGCCTGTACCACCACCACCCGCCTGTACCACCCCACCTGCCCGTACCACCACCTGCCTGTACCACCCCACCCGCCTGTACCACCCCACCTGCCTGTACCACCACCACCCGCCTGTACCCACCACCCGCCTGTACCACCACCACCTGCCTGTCCCACCACACCTGCCTGCACACCACCACCACCTGCCTGTACCACCACCACCCGCCTGTACCACCACCCACCCGCCTGTACCACCACCACCCTGCCTGTACCACCACCCGCCTGTACCACCACCACCTGCCTGTACCACCACCTGCCTGTACCACCACCACCTGCCTGTACCACCACCACCCGCCTGTACCACCACCTGCCTGTACCTCACCACCACCTGCCCGTACCACCACCTGCCTGTACCACCACCACCTGCCTGTACCCACCACCTGCTCTGTACCACCCCCACCTCCGCCTGTACCACCACCTGCCTGTACCACCACCCTGCCCGTACCACCACCTGCCTGCACCACCACCACCTGCCTGTACCACCACCTGCCTGTACCACCACCTGCCTGTACCACCACCCGCCTGTACCCACCACCCGCCTGTACCCCACCACCCGCCCGTACCCACCACCACCTGCCTGTACCACCCGCCTGTACCACCACCCTGCCTGTACCACCCACCCGCCTGTACCACCACCTGCCTGTACCACCACCACCTTCCTGTACCACCACCTGCCTGTACCACCACCTGCCTGTACCACCACCTGCCTGTACCACCTCACCACCCGCCTGTACCACCACCTGCCTGCACCACTCACACCTGCCTGTACCACCACCTGCCTGTACCACCACCTGCCTGTACCACCACCACCGCCTGTACCACCACCTGCCTGTACCACCACCTGCCTGTACCACCACCTGCCTGTACCAACCACCTGCCTGTACCACCACCTGCCTGTACCACCAGTACCACCAACCACCTGCCTGTACCACCACCTGCCTGTACCACCACCTGCCTGTACCACCACCACCTGCCTGTACCACCACCACCTGCCTGTACCACCACCTGCCTGTACCACCACCTGCCTGTACCACCACCACCTGCTTGGCAGGAGCAGCCAGCACTAACACAAACACACCGTCATCAACCATTGGGAAAACACACCAGGAATATCCTGGTAAAAACTTGAGTCTTTCCAGATAGAAATCCGGCCGGGCGGTAATAGTGTCTCGTGAAAGCTCACAGCG